ATTTGTCTCCCGCTGCCACCACTGCCGCCGCTGCCGCCGCCGCCGCTGCCGCCGGCTCGGACCCCCCTCCTTGCTGGCCATTGACCTGCTGCAGGCAGGAAGGAGATGCTGTAATGGACAGGCATGCCACCCCACCGCCCAGGCCTGCTCTCCTCCCAAGCTAAGGGCTGAGCTCCTCAGGGATGAGCAAGGGAGGCCAGGCAGGGATGCATTCCCGATACGAGCCCCCAGCCCAAACTGCCCTCTCCTCACACCCATCAGCATGCCCAAAGACCCTGTCAGAAGCAGAGTGGAGTCTGGGCTGGGCCAGAGCAGCCAGTGAGTCCCAGCAGGGACAGGGAGGAGAGTAGAGAGAGCTGTGCTCCTGCCCTAGGCCAAGGAAAGCCATCCTCTCCTGCCAGCAGGCTGGATGCCCAAAGGGACCGGCTGGTTGCCCCCATGCCCTCCTGAGGCAGCAGGGGCGCCTCCTGAGCAGTCTGCATACACCTTGGCCAGCCCACAACTCAGCCCCAGCCCCAGTGCCTTCCAGGGCTCTGGCCAAGCCCAGGTCCCAGCTCTCTCCTGAAGAAGCTTTTCAGGCCTCCATTCCCTGGCAACGGAACCGACCACAGCTGTCTCCCAGGAGGACAGCCAAGAGCTTGGCCCTCTGCACTCGGTAAGACCCACACCCAAGGGGACACAGAAAGGAGAAGCAGCTCCACCATGGTCTTGAGGAATGGCAGGGCAAAGGCAGGTCACCAGCAGGAGACAGGGAACATTGTGGGGGTCAGGAGACTTAGTGGAAGGGCCCTGAGACCTACTCTACCTTCTCAGAGGCTGCGCAATGAGAACGAAATGTAGCATGCATCATGCCGCTCCCAGCTCAAGGGTGAGCAGTATCTAAGGAATGACAAGGTCAGTGTGCCCACCCTTGGAGCCATGTGCATAAAGCCAGAAGCTTGGCTGACCCACCAAAGCATCCCAGGTCCTCCAGCCTCCAGAGGAGCGGCAGCAGCACAAGCCCAGCTACAACTAGCCCGTGCCCAGAGTTGCTGTCGATGCTGCTGGCATGGGTGTGCTCTAGCTGCCCACATCAGTCCCACGCTGCCTAGACACTGTGCCCCGGAGAGAGTGAAAAGAAACAAGGACCCCTCTGACACGGGCCCCTCCTATTGCATGCACAATCAGAGCAGAGTTTGCCTGTCTTTTTTTTTTTTTTGAGATAGGGTCTGGTTCCGTCACCCAAGCTGGAGTGTGGTTGGTACAACTGCCACCTCCACCTTCCGGGTAACTGGGGCTACAGGCACATGCCACCACACCCAGCTAATTTTTGTATTTTTGAGATAGCAGTCTCCATGTTGCCCAAGATGGTCTCAAACAATCCACCTACCTCAGCCTCCAAAGTGCTGGTCCACAGGCGTGGGCCACCATGCCCAGCCAAGACTGCCTCTCACTGCCCACAACAAGTGACAGCTTCAGGTCCAGTCTCCAGATACCCGTGAACAGGGTGAACACGGGCACTTTCGTAACTTCACGCTCCCCCAAATCCCTGCACTAGCCAACACGTGAACCACAACAGTGTTGACGGTGGGACATGGCTCAGAAAAGCTTTTTCTTGGGAAAAGCCAGCCCACCGCCATTCATGGCACAAGATGGAAGTTCCCAGCTACATGCAGCTTAGGGTTCTGTGCTAAGCAGACACGGGGAGAGCCTGGAGGAAACTGATGTTTATGATTGCAGCTAGTTACATGTTGCCATCTTTAGGCAATGAAAATGGTGGCTTTGTGGTCAGGATGCCCCTGACCACCAGGCAGCAGTGCCTGGAGGGATGGGAAGCCCCCTGAGGGGTGGTATAGCAGAGGGGTTCTGGGGTGCCAACTCTGGCATTGCCTTTCCTCAGCCCAGGGCAAAGAGGAGTATTTCCACCAGAAAACAAGAAGAGGAAAGTAGGGGCTGGGCGTGGTGGCTCACACCTGTAACTCCAGCACTTTGAGAGGTCGATGCAGGAGGATCACTTGAGCTCTGGAATTTGAGACCAGACTGGGCAACACAACAAGACCCCAACTCTATGAAATTTTTTTTTGTTTAAGTAATGTGGGCTAGATGCAGTGGCTTATGCCTGTAATCTCAGCACTTTGGGAGGCTAAGGTGGGTGGACTGCTTGAGGTCAGGAGTTCGAGAACAGACTGCCCCATATGGTGAAACCCCATCTCTACTAAAAATGCAAAAATTAGCTGGGTATGGTGGTGGGCGCCTAGATTCCCAGCTACATGGGAGGCTGAGGTGCTACCATGAATTGCTTGAACCTAGGAGGCGGAGATTGCAGTGAGCCGAGACTGCACCACTGCACTCCAGCCTGGGCAACAAAGTTGAGACTCCATCGCAAAAAAAAAAAAAAAAAAAGAAAGAAAAGAAAAAGAGAAATAACATGGAGCAAATGACCCAAGGTCTCAAGTCGTCAGGCGCCTCAGCTGGGAAGGGGGATGGCCTGTTTCCTAGGGCTACTGTGAAGAGTCGGTGAAATCCCAGCACCCCCCACCCCCCCAACCCGAAGCCCCTGCACACAGAAAGCAGCAAAGCAAGTCACAGGTTCCAGCAATCATCAGCACTGTTGACAACAACCAGTGTCAGACACCCAGGGCAGAGGTGGCTGCAGGACATCGCCTCGCCTCTACCTGTCACTTCCCTTCATATGGCAAATGCTGCTTACTGCATGCCCAGGCTCCACACTGAGCACTGCAGAGGCAGCAGAGACGAGAGAGAAAGACATCCCTCTCAGGAGCCTGGTGTCAGCTGCTAGCAGACAAAGAATGCAAAAATCAAAGATGACTTCTGTGGTTTACCAGCACGACGAAGAAAGCACAGGACAAGAAGAGAGCAGCTATGAGGTGTGCCAGGCCATGGCACCCTTGGCAGCCAGGGGGCCTCTGTGAGGTGACACTGCAGGCTAAGTGCCTACAGAAGAAAGCAACTGGGACCGCAAGGGTGATGACCCCAAATAAGAGCTGGTTGGGCTGTCAGTGAAGAGAAGAACGGAGCCAAGAGTCAAAGTGAAGCGATGCATCCAGAAGACCTATCCTTGCTGTGAAGAGGCAGCCGGCCTCATTCTGCAGCCACCAGGCAGAAGGCATGCCCACCCTTATATATCTTCCGGCCTCCCTCCCCACCAGGACACGGTTGGCCAAGTTCAGCTGCTCCATTTAACCTCCCTTAAGAGCTGAAGCAGCATGAGACAGGGAACAGGCTCTCACCACTGTGTCCAACCAGGACGGTGGTGAACAGGCAACCCTTCTAGAAACCTTTCCATCCCAATGATTAAAAGAAAAATGGCTTAGATCACGAGCTACAGCTCTCTCCTGGAGCCTGATGAAGCAAGCTGGAACTTCGACAAAGAAAAATCATTTGTTACCCCAAAGAATTCAGATGGCACCGAACACCCCACATGAGGACCCACTCATGGGGTCAGTACGGCCCACATCCAACCCAACACCACCACCACCTATCTGGCACCACACCACAGCAGACCTGGGCCCCCATTTAGCCTTCATGGGCACAGGGTGCTGTTCTGCGGGTAACTGGGGAGATGAGGCATCCACTTTCCTCCTCTACCTTCCCAAGTGTCCAGTCCTTCACCATCAACTCTCTGACTACTGGGGAGATGAGGCATCCACTTTCCTCCTCTACCTTCCCAAGTGTCCAGTCCTTCACCATCAACTCTCTGACTGCTGCCTGGAGACAGCCTCTCTGTGAGGTCACCAAATCCTCAACCCTTACCCCCTTTCTCTCTGACATGCCCCTCAAAGGTCACTTACTCTTGTGACTTCGGAGAAAGAACATGGTAGAAAGAGTAGAGTTAGCCGCCAGCCTTGTGAATCACACACTATGCTGCCCCCACAATGCCTCTCTCCCCGTTGGAACTGGTTTCTGCCTCAGTGGGACATGGGCCCAGCCCCCCAGCTGGGGGCCTGGCAAAGGCAGTCTAAAGATACTTCCTGGTTCTATCAATCCAGCCTTCAGTCACTCACCCAAGTTGTCTTCTCGAACAGACCTATCCCATCCCACTGGGTGTAGGCGGCAGGGAGACTGGCAAATAACAAAGGGGTGAACCATAGCTGAGAAAAACGCAAGAGGGGATTAGGTCCTCTAAGCTAAGTGGGATGGAGAGACCAGACTTCATCACGCATGATGTGTGTGTGTATGGGTGTTCTCTCTCTACGTTAATAACGCCTGTCCGGCCCGCAGAGGTGGACACTGAGCAGAGCAGGGGGCGGCTCCTTTCTCTGGATGCCCATGCAGCTCCCTCGGATGCCCTGCACATGGCACCCTGGGTGAGAACTGGCTTCTGATGGGCACTAGACCTCCGACTGCCCAGTTCCCCACTGTGCGCACAAATCTTCCCGTAGAGCTTGGGACAATGCGACTTCTCAAAATACATAGGAGAGGAGAAAGCACGTCCTTCTTTCCCGAATGGGGATAAGAGAATGGAGACAACCAGATCCCTTTACAAGCACTGGAGAACGAATTCAAGGCTGCAGGCGCAGTGAGCCAAATCCACCCCATGCTCTGAGCTGCAGACTCCTTTCTACATACAGGTCCCGTCCCCTTCTGATCCCATCAACCCGAAGGCCCACGCGTGGCCCCCAGGACCCCACTTCCGTCGTGACCACGGCGCACACACCCGTCGGCAGAGGGAGGACAACGACCCCCGCTTGCCGGACCTAGCGGGCAGGAAGGCAACCCCGCCAGGCTCGCTCGCCCGCCGGGGCCCCACGCCGGGCCCGGGCCCCCGCCCCGCCCCGCCGGAAGCTGGGGTCCTCAGGCCGGAAACTGAGGCCTCCTGCAGACCGCCGGCGCGCTCCCGCCCCGCCCCCGCCTCCCGCGACCCGGGGCCACAAAGGAGTCCGCGCACGGTCTGAGAAGGCCGCCGCGTCCCTGGGAGGCCCTCTGCACCCAGGCTGGGCTAATGACCCGCCCCCACCAGCCAAGGGCCGCCCGCGGTCACAGGGGCTCACTTACGAGAGCTATGGTCGCCGTCGCCATCTTGCGTCCGTCGCGGCCGCTGCGCGCGCCACCCACTCCTGCTCCCTCCGCGGTCTCGCGCGATCTGGGCGCCGGCGCACGGAACTCTCGCGAGGAACGAGGTAAAACGTACTTCCGGGGCGGGGAGGGACGGTTAACGCCCCCAGGAGGAGCGACGGAAGGGGCGTGGAAGTGGGCGGGGAGAGGGGTGGGGCTTGCGACCTGGGCGGCCAGGAGCGTGCGCCGTGGGGCCCGAACCGGGAGAGTCTGTCCGCGTGGCCGATATGGGTGCGCGTGGCACTCCTCGCCACCCCTCGCCCCTGCGGCCGCTGCTACGCTTCTCTTCTCTGCCTTTTTTGCAGAAAACGCTGTTGCGGGCGTCGTCCAGAGGCTCTCCGCGAGGAGGCAGAGGAAAGAGCGGGGGCCCTCCTGGGCTGGAGGAATCTCGGGTGACGAAAGGCCCGCGTATTTCAGGCTCACGTCGTGAGATGCGTCGTCCTTGAGTCGCGATATCCCTGGGGTTGGGAAGCCTGGTTTCTTGGCAGCCTTTTCTCCTTCGAGGGATTCATCAGTCCCCAGCGCCTCTGGCGTATGCCCCAGCCATAGGTTGGCTGACATCAGTCACTCGGCCCGCAGGCCCCCTTAGTCCCTGAACTGGCTTTCATGGCCCAAGGTGTCCATCAATGCTGCCGGGAGAGCTGCCTGTCCTGGACGTTTGCCATCTGCTACAGCCAGTCCCGAGACCTCAACACGGTCATCTGAAGAAGCCACATCTGTAGGCTCAGGCACCTTCAGCTGCCTGAGACCACAAGGCATCCTCTCTATGCAGCAGGCCTCTCTATGCAGAAAGGGCCTCCTTTCAACCCTGGGAACGTCTGGAATTTAATAGACACTTCTACTTAAATAGGGCAGGATATTCCCCACCTCCCTCCTGCAACCATCTGAAATGATAGGAAAGGGGTTTTATAAAGAAACCCTGCAAGGGCAAAGAGCTGGGATATTGTAGAGCCGGAGGAAGGTGGACAGCCAGAGCTGCTGCAGCCCACTCGGCTATAGAGGCTGGTGTCTGAGGGTCGTGGGTGAAAGCACGGCCAGAGAAAGGAAACCCCAGACCTCTGTCCCTACCCGCTGGGGCTGGCAGGCCCTGTGGTGGCTGGGATGTGAGCTCCCAGAGAGGAGTTCTGAGGCCCCACTTAAGCAAGCCCCTGTCTAAAAGCCTGAGAGTAAATAAGACTCTGGTTCCTTCCCCTACCTCCACCCCTGGGCTGCGTCTGGCCTCCAGCATGCCATCAGGCCTCTTAGGAGGGTTCCTCTCTGCAGCAGCTCCCAGCTCAAAAGAAAAAAACTGGCAGCTAGGGGCAGAGGGGTGCCCAGTAGAATGGCCCAGCCAGATCACTGGCCTTGAAGCTCGCCAGGCCATAAGTACCAGCCACTGAAAGCATCTCACTCTTAAATGCAACTGGACAGCCCAGGATCACCAGACACAAGAGAAAGAAGAAAAGGGACTGAGAAGGAACAGAGACAATAAAGGAAACTAAAACATCATTTTTAGAGATATTAGAGGTATCACAGCCAATCAAAAGGACCTGGAAGCTACAGAGAAAGAACACACGGAACGAGAAAGAGCTCTTAGAAATAAAACATATGAGGGGAAAGTGAGCAATTCAATAGGGTGTAGGATGAAGTCTTCTGCCTGGTCATGACGGCTCATGCCTATAAGCCCAGCACTTTGGGAGGTGGAAGTGGGCAGATCTCCTGAGGCTGGGAGTTCGAGACCAGCCTGACCAACATGGAGAAACCATGTCTCTGGTAAAAATACAAAATTAGCCAGGCATGGTGACACATGCCTGAAGTCCCAGCTACACGGGAGGCTGAGGCAGGAGAATCACTTGAACTCAGGAGGTGGAGACTGAGGTGAGCTGAGATTGTGCCATTGTACTCTAGCCTGACCAACAAGAGTGAAACTCCATCTCAAAAAAAAAAAAAGAAGAAAAAAGGATAAAGTCTTCCAGAATGGAGAACAAGAAAACCAGATAGCTGGAAAACAAAATAGCAGCAACACAGGCGGGTGCTCTTAGGGCCAGCCTGGCACACGAGGCCTCCACAATGGAGAGGATGGATGGGAGGTAGGGGCTGGTCTGCCACCACCACCAGCTGAAGCCACAAGTGCTACCCTCTGGTGACAGCTTCCCTTGACAATAATGTGCACTCTGGGCACATGGTGCCCAGCACTGTTCTCACACACACTCACTCCTGGGATCCTCACAACCCAGTGCTATGCAGTGGGTACAGCTGTTATCCCCATTTTTACCCATGTGCAACAGCACAAGGTAGGGAGCAGCAGAATGGCTCCAGCGCCTGTGCTCTTGTCACTACATGACTGCATCTCAAAAGAGAAGTCCAGGTCAGGCACAGTGGCTCACACCTGCCTTCTTAGCAGTTCGGGAGGCTGAGGCAGAAGGATCACTTGGGCCCAGGGGTTCAAGACTAGCCTGGGCAATATAGCAAGGCCACGTCTCTACAAAAAAAATAATTTTAAAAAAAAAACCAGCTGGATGTGGTAGCACACGCCTGTAGTCCTAGCTACTAGAGAGGCTAAGGTGGGAGGATCACTTAAGCCCAGAAGTTGCAGGCTACAGTGAGCTGTGATCACACCACTTCACTCCAGCCTGGGTGACAGAGCCAGACCCTGTCTCAAAAAAAAAAATTTTTAAGTCCAACATCTAAATAAACTGTCCAGAAAATAAGGAAATGAGATAAACCAACAAAGAGATAAGGAAATTTCCTAGAACCAAACAGTCATGTTTTCTAGATAATGGGATAAGGGAAGTTGTGTATCAAGACGTATCATTGAGGATTCCAAAGAAATGGGACAAAGTAAAAAACACAGAGAAGAGATCACAGGTAAAGAGCCAGAATTCAGAAAGGCACACGAGTTCTTGGAACTAGAAGACAATGACATGATATCCTCAAAATCCTTGGAATAAGTATTTTCAAGCAAGCCAAGTTTTCTGTAACTAGTCACACTGTCAAGCATATGTGGGGTTAGTATAAAGACAAACCCAGGTAAAGACTCCTTAGCTTCCTGTGCACCCTCTCGGGAAGCTTGGAGGACGTTCCTCCTCAAACGGGGCACATGCAGGAAGAGGAAGAATTCCAGGACACCAGGGAAAAGTTAACCCATGCTGGGCCACAAGTCCAAGAACAAGCAGCCTGGGCAGGGGGCTCCAGGAAAAGAAGAAACTGAGCAGTCAGTTATGTGACAAGTCCTAAGCTCTGAGAGGATATCCATGCTTCTTCAGGAAAGTCAAAAGATGATTGATGACAAACACATATAGAAAACTAGGCAAACAGAAAAACTAGGCAACGATTAACTCCAGGAAAAACGAAAAGTTGTGCAAGAAACAGCATCCTAGAACACCCAGTTCTCGCCTGAGATGTGTGGTAATGAAGCTGAAGTAATACCCATGCAGCTGTGATGCCCAGCACACAGGAATGATGCCGCATAGGGAGACTGAGGCAGGTGGCCACCCTCCTCCCAGAGGATGACAGCTGGGGACACCGGATAAACTGCAGTAAAGGCATGCCCATGAGTTTGAGACACATGAATTTCAGATGCCTGAAGGAACAGTTGAGAGAGTTGAATTTGGGGAGCATCAGAGCAGGAGCCTGCATTTATTATTTATTATTGGCCTCAAAAAAAAAGAAAGCCCATTCCACTTTAAAAGCAATATGCATATAATTCTGAACAGATAAAACTTAAAAGGAAAAATTCAACAGACGTGATTACGTGCAGCAATGGCAGTGATGATGCTTTTAAATTCAGTTTAATTACTAGTACAATGTTACGTATTTGCCACTGAAACCGTTTCGGACCATGCATAATCAGGTAGCTTAGCATCAGGATTTCCATCTAGGACAGGGATATTATTTCAGATTTCTAATTCTGAGTTGGAAGGTGGGAGAATTTGAATTATTTTGTAAATAGTATTGGAATGGTTAAGATAACTGAGATTCACTATTTTGTACATTTATTTGATATGCCTTGGTAAGTCTTGCTTTGGTTTTTGGTTTTTTGTTGGGGTGCTGTGGTAGGCAGAATGCCACCCTTCCCCCACAAAAGAGGTTCATTCCTTAATGCCTGGAACCAGTGAACGTTAGTTTACATGGCAAAATGTGTTCTGCAGATGTGATTAATATTAAAAAACCTTGAGGAGGGAAGTTAACCTGTGTTATCTGGTTGAGCCCAACCTGATCTCATGAGTCCTTAAGGACAACCTTTCCTGGCTGCAGAGAACCAGAGAAATGGTTCTTGACACAGACTGAACCTGCTGGCTTTGAAGACAGAGGAGGGGCCAAGAGCCAGGGAATGTGGGCAGCCTCTACAAGTTGGAAGTGGCCCCAGTTTACAGACAGCAAGGAAGTGAGGACCTTGGCCCTGCCCCTGAAAGGGTGTGGATTCGGCCAGCAGCCTGAAGGAGCAGCAGATGGAGTCTCCCCTAGGACCTCCAGGAAGGAAGGCGGCCTGCCAGCCTTGACTCTAGTCCAGTGGAACCCGAAGTCAGCCTTCCAGACTACAGAACTGCAGTCAGTTTGTGTTGTTTTAAGCCACTAAGTTTGTGATAAATTCCACAGCAGTAGTATAGAGCTAATACAGCGGTGTGCCTTCCTGCTTTGACTTTGAAATGCTTTTTAAAAAGCATGAATGCGCTAAATTTATACATACAATTTAAAATGTTTAAGGCCGCTTCACTAAATTTGTAATTGGAGGAGAGGCAAGCCAAGAATCAAGAGGCCTGGAATGCAGGAGCAGAATCCATGAGGGCATAGAAACCTCAAAGACTGAGCCACGAGTGGAGTGGGAGAGAGGCAGGGAGCCAGGAGCTGACATACTCAGTGGCCCAGGGAGCAGCTGCCCCAGGGAGAAAGTGTGGGAGGTAACATGCAGGGGGTATGAGTTTGAGGAGCAGAGAGGATGTGGGGTCCCTCAACCCTCCAGGCCAGGGAATGCAGGAGAGAAGAAGCCCATTGGAGGGGCTGCGAGGGCCAGAGGAGATCTGCAGAGGGGCTGCACATCCTGGTCTCAGGGTGGGTGAAGGGCCAGAGAAGTGACTCCAGGACAGAGCTGTGTGGGACCAGGGGCTTTGCTGATGACAGCCTCAACTCCAGACCTCTCTGGTCTGTTTCTCCTGCCAGGTCCCAGTTGTGCCCAGTGCCATGCCTGACACCTGCAGGCGTGTCACCATTGGCTTGCTGTGCAGGCTTCTTGTGTGGGTCTATGGTGCCAGCCAGGGATGGCTGCTCTCTCAGACCTCATGGAGCCGTTTTCTGGGCAGAGGTCTGTTCAGGGCTTACCCTCACCCCCAAGCCCCAGAGCCGGGGCTCCCTGCAGGGGAGCCTCCTGCATGCTAAGGAGGCAGTGGCCCTGGCCAGGCAACCTGGGTAGGAGCTCCGGGCAGAGAATCAAGGATATAGGAAGGGGTCCTGGGGGCAGCCCTGATCCTAAGGACCTGGGAGGCCTCATGGCTCCCCCACCCCCACCCATGGCACCTGGAGGCAGGGTCAGCCCCGCTCCACAGGAGGTGGGGGTTTCTTCACTACCTGGGCCTTTGTGCTCCCAGGGACACAGTAGAGGGCAGCCTGGCAGTGCTGGGCTCTCCCCAATGTGGCCTGACCTGGGCAGCACCCTGGCATGGTCCCCTGGGGCTGGGGCACCAGGTCAGGCCTGGGCCCCACGGTACTTGAGGAAAGTGCTCTCCAGGAAGGTGGCCAGCTTCATCCGGTCGCCCTGCGGAAGGAGGGAGGCATGGGGGACGGAGGGGTGCGGCCTGCCCCGCACACCCCCTCGGCCTGGCAGCACCACCCTGCCCTGCACACCTCGTGGAGGAAGCCGTAGTGCACGAGCTCCGCGGCGAGGTCCTGAGCACTGTCCGCTGGGGCAACGGCGTAAGGTGAGGCTAGAGGCCACTGCGCCTCCGGCTACCCGGGGTCACTGCCCACCGCCCAAGTCCCCTGCCCAGCCTACTTGGGAGCAGGTCGTAGGTCAGCTGCCGGTGCAGCCGGTCCTCCATCACCAGAAGCAGAGTGAGCTGGGGAGGTGGCAGGGCAAAGTCGGCGGGGAGTTCGGGGGTCTGCCAGGCCCCCGCCTTCCCCACAGCAGTGCCGTCCTCCCGGGCCCCGCTCACATGCCAGCGTGCCTTGTCCTCGCTCCTCTCCAGGTTGCACTGCATCTGGATGACCTGCAGCGGGGGAAGGCTGGGACTCACAAACCCAGCAGCAAGAGCACATGCTGCTGTGCCAGAGGGGCCCAGAAGGGACAGCAGAGATCGTCAAGCGGGGAGTCTCTAAGAGGAGCCCATCTCACTGCTAGTGGCCTGGCAAGCTAAGGAAAGCTTCTTAAAGAATCAACATTAGGAGCTGGGTACTGAAAGGTGAATAGGAGCTTTCACCATGGAGAGAATGACTTGAACAAAGAGGGAACTATGGGCACAGGAAAAGGGAGGGTGGCCAGGACAGGGCCACACGGAAGTGCACAGTGCCTGCAGAATCAGGCCTCCCAGAGCCTGGGCATCGGCTGAGGACTCCCATGATCTCTGTGGCCAGCCAGGAGCAGGCAGTTTGCTTGTTTAGGACATGAATTCTGGCTGCACTGCACTGAGAGAGGCTTCTGGCCAGTAGGCAGCACTGTAGAAGTCTGGGGAGACACCAGGACACAGATGTCCAGGAATCAGCACCCGGGGGTGGGTGAAGAGTGCTGGCAGGTAGAAGGGCCCCAGGTGAGTCCTGGAGGAAAGATGGTTGGAGTGGGTTCAGGGCAGCAGGATGTGGGGGAAGGATCTGAGAGGACATGGAGCCTCCTAGAAAAGGGGAGTGTCCAGCCTGTCCAACAACCCCCACGATCCGCACCGGAGGATCAGCCTGAATCCGGTCTCTGGCCGCCTGGAGGAGAGCTGGGCTGTGGGGATGCAGGCCCTGAGAGAAGAAGGGGCACCTCTTGTCTGTCTGAGGGCTGGCACTGAGCAGCAGGAGAGAGGCCTCACCTTTCTAG